ACATAAATGTTGCATTTGTGTTTAGTTAGGTTAAACCTCTGTTGTTCGTCATTGCTCCAGCTATATTGATTTTTTGTGCATGTCCAAACATTTTTTGTTATATGGTCTGACAGTGTGTGTATGTGCGTGTTGGTGTTGATATTGACCAATTGTTCTATTTTATATGTTGGTTTAGTATTTTTTTTTATACATTCATATTAACATATGTACTATTTCAATCCTTTTTATTTTTTTTAGGTGTGACATTAAGATCTGTCCAGGGTAAAATAGCCTTTTGGCTAATTCTAGCACATTTATGTCTTATTGGTGTGCATTGTCCCTGTTAAATAAACCTGAAAAAAAAAAAATATATATATATACACACATTTGGAGATGCAAGTGCATTTAACCGTTTAAATTAAGCTTTCAGAATCGATTCTGAATTGAAGAGAGAATTGCTATTGACTGTCGATGTACAATGTGAACATCAACACTTGTGCTTGAACAGCTGTTAGCTCTGAAACAAATGGCCTATAGACTCAGGATAACCTGTTTAAATGTGGGACACCCACAAGCCACAAGCCCACTCCTGAGCTATTCAACACAATGACTAAAAATATCTACATCTAGCAGACTTGTTTTCGACTGCATCCTGAACAAACAAAGACTCATTGTTTGAAAGAGCTTGAAGGATCTCAGCTGGCCACATCTAAACCCCCACTAACCCATTCCCATCATGCGTGTACATCACTAAAAAACGCTACAATGTAAAAAATAAAATGCCATTTTTATGGTAAAATACCGGCAGCTGTGGTTGCCAGAACTTTACCGTCTAAATATGGTACAGACGTTATTGGTTTTACAGACTTAACTTAAAATTTACAGTAATAAACCGTATTTCATTATCTGATATAATGTTAATTTTCCAACCTATTTATGTATTAATATCTGTTTTGCACCATTGAAATACACTGACAACCAACAATCATCACAGCAGTGATGAAAGTCACATGATCAATCAAAGCTCATCACAAGCAGCTCTTCCACGAGAAAGTTAGTTCTAATATAGAAGCTGCACAGTGTCATTCGCACAAACATTAAACTCCATCATGGTAACACATGAAATTTTAAAAATGCAATAAACATTCATTTAACAACATTACATGTAACATAAAACTCTAATGTACATAACTGATAAGAAAAGAAGAAACATAGTTATTTCAACAAAAATACATCAAATGTGAAGCGTCACGCTGGGAATTGTGGGAATGTCAATTTACGGTCTTTCACTGTAAATTATACAATGAGTCACTTTCAAAAACTGTAAATTTAATGGTATTTTACAGTAAAATTACATTAAATGTACCGTTAGATCTATCACAGTTATTTACCGTATATATTAGTAAGGAAACTTTCTGTTAACCAATTAACAGTTTTCACTGTAGCATTTTTACAGTCTTTTACCGTTAAAATCACGATCATTTTTTACAGTGTACGGGTGTGTTCAGACATCACAGCTGTACTTCGGTTCTCTTGGTATGGACCAAAAATGAAAGATACATTTAGTCCTGATTCGCTTTGCATTCACACTGGCATTCTTAACACACAAAAAAGAGATTTACAACATATTTCACGAAAGAAATGGGCTAAAAGCGCTCGCTGTGTGTGTGTAGCTGCATATGATGGTGTTTTGATGGGCTGAGAACTCGTGAAGAGCTTTTAAAATGTGTAAAGGAGTAAAAACAGTGGCAGGAATCCCTCCGCCACACACACACACACACACACACATCGGCTGTGAGGAGACGTACTGAACTGGAAACATCAGGACTATGACCGGAAAAAAAGATTGTACTTTTAAGGGTTGCATCTTGTGACATCACGTCCTGTTTTTGGTTCGTCATATCGGCTACATAAAATTATTATGAGAACATTATAATTGTGTTTGGGACATGGATTTTACTGCTCAGACTTTTGTAATCAGGCTCTCAAAAATGATAAAATTATCGGCCAAAACATCGGTTATCGGCTTTCAAATATAAGGAATTATCGGTTATCGGCCAAAATGTTCATATTGGTGAAAATTCATGTAAATATATTATAAATATTTCAAATGGTCCAGCCTTGGTGTGGGAAGGCCACCTTACATTACAGAAGTATAGGCCTACTCTTATTTTACTCTAGACAAACATTAGATTTCACAAATTAAACCCAATAAACGTACCACACGTGCGGTTCACATACTGTAAACAACAGCTTTTTACCAATATAATTCAGAAATCAGCAACAACACAACAAAAAAGGTATACAGTGTGAATTTAATAATCATAAACGACCTTTAAAGCAAACTCCCTGCACGGTTTTCTTCATCTGTGCGGATTAAGTGTGTTTTCATGATCGCGAAACTGTAAAATGCAGATCATTGTCCCAAAAAGGGCCGTGTGTGTGCAAGGCCCGATCGGCTCATCGTTTCACCAGAGCTTCTGCATTCCAGAACTATTTGCACAATAACTTTGCTTGTTTACTAGTTAAACTTCTTGACTGACCACGACAGCAATGTGGGACTTACTGACAGTTTCCAACGACAGACAGACAAAAAACCATCATGGGATTTCAGGAAAGTTTGGAAATTGAATGAAATGGGAATTCACTGGTTTTAATAAAAGCTTGCCAGTCACGACAAACACTTTCAGTTAAGCAAAAAAACAACATAATACTCTTACAAAAATGCTTTTCCTACCTTTACCCCCCTCTCTCTCTCTCTCTCATTCCCAGTTTGTTTACAAAAATGCTTTTCCTAACTTTAAATGTACAAATTATATTAATTGTACAAATTAACAGTAAAAAAAAAAAAATTGAACCGTTTATGAACATCTCAAAATTCCATGAAGAATTTAGAATTCAGTGTGTGAGTGTTTTCGTGTTTGTGTGTGTGTGAGATTAGTCATCATCACTGATTAGTCGTCGACTGCTAGTATGATACAATCTCTTTTTTCATCTAATAGATGTTTAAATTGTGTTTTGTTGTTTAATTTTATGAAGTTAAGCCAAAGAAAGGATTTCAAATTTTGTATAAAAAGTCCCTCTAATGTCCTCATAGTTGGGGCAGCTGGTGAGGAAGTGTTGCTCTGTCTCCACTTCTCCCTCTCTCTCTCACACACACACAGACACACACACGGAGACTCGTTCCCAGCATGACGAGAGTGAGGCGTGTTTATCCACATTCTCATCATTCCTGCTCAGGCTGAAACTCGCTTGGCCGTTTAGGCGGGGACAAAAACTCCCGCAAATATTCAAAAGCAGGCCTGAGATATTTCACCACAACACACGAGCGAGAGAAACACAAGCATCATCATCATCATCATCATCTCTTTCTGAAACTGGACAACTCATTTCGAGATATGATCACATTAGTGGGAATAAAAGCACCAGCAGATGAAGAATATGACCAGGGGATGATAAGATATATATAGTTTTATAAATGTTCTAAGAATAGCAGAGTCCACACCACAACTATAACAATAATGACACAGAAAAACAATATAGTTGAGATCACTTTCAAAACTGACAGCCAATCAGAATCCAGAGCTCGAGCATTTAAAGCAACAGACGACAAAACAGTGCGCTTATAATAAACAGAGCGATATCGTGATGTATAATCGTTACAGTTATCGTTACAGTTTTCACTCTTGGTGTGAATGCGCCGGAGTCAAATGCAAATCAGCGTGAAATGAAAATTCACTCTATATATTTCCAAATGCATGTTATATGTGCCTCTATTTTAGCATCTCAACATCCAATCAACAACTGATGCATATCACTATATATATATATATATATATATATATATATATATATATATATAATCAAAATTTGAGAAAAGACCATTTATGGTGAACTAGTCATCCGCTTCATCAGAAACCATTTCTATTTGTTATTCTTCCCAACCACCGCCACAGGATTGTGGGATATCATAAGTAACATGAAAAACTCCAGCAGAATAATGAATGTCAGGAAATAATCGTTGGATTAATCTTCTCATGAAGGCAGCATTACCATCTCTCGGACACATCCAGTGACACAATGACAGTGTTTCACCACCACATTTCACCATCATCTACATCAACATCAACCTGGGGGAAGGGGAAGTGTTTACAGCAAAATGTTGTAAGAATAATGAAATATATTAAATAAACCACGTGAAATAAACAAAATGTGGATTAAAATATAAATAATAAAAAAGTAGATGCATATAGATAGATAAACAACAAAATGTGAATAAAATAAACATTAAAATATGTAAACAAAAAATTGATTGATTTAAATAAAACAGTAGAAAAACGTAATGATGGATCTTAACAGACTCCTAAATATTTTCCGCATAATGCTTTAAACTGGTATTGTATACATTTTTTGTATTGTGTATACAATATAAATGTGTACAAACTGAGTTTATATATATATATATATATATATATATATGGAAAATATAAGTCTTAAGATGGAAGGGTGTCTCCCGAGGACGATCAGGATTTTTTTTTTTAGAATAATGCTTTAAACTGGTAGCAACATTTTTGTATTGTGTATACAATTTAAATGGGTACAAAGTGGGTTTTATATATATATATATATATTTTTATTGATTTATATATATGGAAAATATAAGTCTTAAGATGGAAGGGTGTCTCCCGAGGATGATCACGATTTTTTTTTTAATAATGCTTTAAACTGGTAGCAATATTTTTGTATTGTGTATACAATTTAAATGGGTACAAAGTGGGTTTTATATATACACACACACACACACATTTTTTTATATATTTATTTATCTTAAGATGGAGTCTGTGTCTCCCGGGGATGATCATATTCGGTGTCCCGCGGCCTCTCAGAGATTGGAAACCCCCTGGCCTACAAAACCACATCATTTACACACCACAAACACATAATACGGCAGCGTTCCGCGAGCGTTAATAATAATCGCGTCGCGGCGCGTTGGTGTCGCAGTTGTGTCCGGTGTCCGTTACCTCTCTCAGCAGCTCGAGCTCCTGACGCACGCTCTCGCACTCCGCGTCCAGCTCGTCGTACCGCAGCTTGAGCTGCTGCTTCTCCTCCAGCACCGCGAGCCCGTACTCCGCCGCCTGGATCTTCTCCTGCGTGGTCTCGGCCAGCTCCCGGGACAGCCGCCGCACCTCCTCCGACGCCCGCGACGCCCCCGTCCACTCGCGCTGCTGCTCCTCCGCGGACATCATCTTTAACGGCAGTCGCGCTCAGATCCTCCCGTGCGTGCGCTGCATGACCGTGATATATTCCTGCTCGGGAGCGGGTGATGGATGAGGAGCGTGCTCTTTTATTCCTCCATGACCGCGGATCGATCAGCTCCTCTCCGCTCCGCTCCCCTTCAATAACACGGAGAGGAGAAGAGGCTGTAATCTACCGAGGGATCTGTCGGAATGGAGGATTCCTCCTTGGGCTTTTTTATGGGAGATGTAGTTTATTTCAACCGCTTTTGCGACGTCACAAATGGAGCAGAAAACTCATATCCCATGACTCCCTGCGGTTTGACAGTTTGGATACCGGAAGCCCGTGTGAACCGGCTCCCTGCGCGTGACGTGGAGATCTCCGTTGACTTCAGTGGAGAACTGGAGATATTTATTTTATCTACTAATGTGATGTGATTATAACTTGCAGTTTGTACAACAGATTTGAATAGCACCTCAAATAATGTGGGTTATTGAGGGAAAGTGTGCTGTAAATTACAAGCAATCAGAATGATGTCATAGACTTTAACGGTCCGTTCACACTTACACCCGTGACGTTTTAAAATCAAGGGGGACACACCAAATGCGACTCAAAAGAAAAAAAACAAACAGGAATGAATCGTCGACGAAATTTCCGACTCCTTCCAAATCCAAAGCGAGAGGAAAACAGGCTCTTACTGCACCGGACGTGTTTGAGATCACGAAATGAAGCTCTGAGAATTTCTCCTGATTTGAATATTTGAATAGGGAAAACACTGGAATCATCGGAGTGTGTCAGCAGCGCCATCTGGTGCTCGTAACATGTACAACAGTCAAATGTAATATTGGAGATATACATACTGCTTATTTTATCAACTGGAAATTTTCTTAGACCTCTGGTGTTCTCTTAGGACAAAAAATACATTACATTGATTACTGAGGGAAAAAAGTTAAATTTGATGCGTTTGGCCACTTGACTTTAGATAACAAGCGTAAATGACAATGTGCAAACACTATTTTAAGGTGACGTAGTTTACTACATGTACTTACTAAGTTACTATAGTAAAAAAAAGTCAATTTCCAGTGAAGGTTTTCTAAGAAAACATTCAGTTTTCCGGGATTCTATTGAAACATCAGTAAAACATCTATCGTACTTGAAGGCTTGAAGAGTTGGTGAGGCAGACACGAGTGTGTGTGTGTGTGCGTGAGTGATTGATTCAAGTACTCCTCGCTGCAGACTGTAGCGCGGTGACGTCACGTATATACAATACGTCACGTACGTACGTCACGTATGTGTTACCACGCATGCGCCATATCGCGGCGACAGCGCATGCGCGTTACGCGGTTACGTCACGTGTTTTGACGTCCCGCGTCAATTTGACATAATATTTAACAAAAATGTTAATGTATTAAAAAACTCTAAGGTAATAATGAAAGCAGCAAAAAGAAGTAAAACACACATCCATAGTTTTAACTATGCCTGATTTAAGGTAAACTTATGAGAAATTTTAGAATGTATTATTGTGTAATATCTGTGTAGTATTTTATTTAAAGTTTATTTTTACATTCTATTGAATTGAATGCCTTTATTGTCATTGTACTTTACAATACAACGAAATTGGTAACACTCTCCACTGGTGTATACAATAAATACATTTAAATAATCCTTACAGTACATAAAATAATATATATAAATAAAACAAACATAAAAACAGTATAAAGTTGAATTAAAACAGTGCATTTGGAAAGAAGCTATTTTTGAATCTGGTGGTGCTGGATTGTATAGACCTATAACGCCTACCAGAAGGCAACAGTTGAAACAAAAGGTGACCTGGATGAGTATTGTCCTTGATGATGTTTTTGGCTCTTGAGAGAGTGCGACGAAGTGCAATGTCTGACAAAGATGGTAAAGGGCATCCTATAATGTTTTCTGCAGTCTTGATGATTCTCTGCAGAGCCTTTTTGTTGGCAGTAGAACACCCAGCAAACCACACAGAGATGCAATATGAAAGAATGCTCTCAATGGTGGATTTATAAAAGGACACCAGCAGCCTTAGATTCATTCTGTCTTTTATTGCACTTCACTTTGTAAATTACAAAATTACTGTAAACACTGATGGCACCTTATATATTTCTTATTTTAATCATTCCCCTTTAATAGTTAATAATTGTTTATTTTTGTGCATTATATAGGCTATCATAAAACATTTATTCCAATAAAGTAGTTTGAAGTTAAACAGCACATTGTCAATCTCTGTATCCGATATTATGCATGCCAACTCAAAAAAAAACTCATAACAGTCATAACTTTTATTTCAAAACAAAGATAATTGTGTAAAAGAAATATGTACAAATACAGATAATCACATACATCTGTACACACACAGACAGACAGACACACACAAGCACAGAGACAGACACGCACACAGAGACACACACACACACACACACACACACACACACAGAGAGAGAGAGAGAGACAGACAGACACACTACTTGAAAATTCCCCTCCATCATTGAAAAAACAATCAACTGAGCATAGCCCTCAACCTCCTTATCAGAATAAAATCAACGCAGGACTCCCCTTCTGCCATCACCCACACACCCAGCCCCAGGTGGGCAGTCCTTGTATATTGCAGTGCAAGCACAGAGTTAACGAGTAGGGCACCCGGAACTCTTGCTTGTATTGCTGGAAAATGTACTCCAGTTCACAACACCTAATTTAGATAAAATACAGAACAAACAATATGAATCATTTTGAAGAAAGGCATTAATACAGTACAGAGTCGTCATACAAGGAATATATATATATATATCATTTTTTTAAACAAAGTTATTGGCTTTGTCTGTAAAGTACCTAAGTACCTAAGAGACTTTAACATAAACTAGTTAAAAAAAAAAAAGTTATGCTGTCTAAATAATAAAAACAACTAAGGAGAATCACAATGAATCTTATTTGAGCAAAATACAATGTTCAACTTCATTACTTTAATTAATTTCACCACAAATGTATTTAACATAACTTACGTACTGTAAGTGTACTACATTCACGAATGTAACTTTTACAGTACGATCTGATACTGAGGAACAACATTTCTTTTGCAATGGATGGAACAATCAACTACATTACTTACATAAGTCTTTCTGCTCTATTTGAAGACATCTTTCAAACCTTAATTTGTTTAAAGGCGAATTAAGACTTATACATATCATTTTAAGACTCGCTGAAACTCGCTGAAGTCATTTTGATAATATGAGATCATAAAACATAACATTTTTTGTAAAATCTAAAACATTTCTGATGCGCTCTATGGAATCTCTTACAATTAAAAGCCGTTAACACAAAAGAACAATTGTTAAAACAGCATAAATAATCCTTATTGACTTACTGCCATCGAATCCATCGCCGGAAGTGATTGTAATGAACTGCGCGTGCGCAAATGCGTATAATTTGCGCGTGCGCACATGCGTCTACTTTGCGCATGCGTGGTAACACATACGTGACGTACATACGTGACGTGTATACGTGATGTCACCGCGCTACAGTCTGCAGCGAGGGGTACCTCGATTGATTGAGTGAGAGTGCGAGTGAACGTGTGTGAGAGAGTGAGTGTGTGGGTGAGTGAGTGTGAGTGAGAGTGTGTGTGAGTGATCGTGTGTGTGTGAGTGAGTGAGAGTGTGTGAGATTGCGTGAGTGAGTGAGTGTGTATGTGAGTGAGTGAGTGTGTGAGAGAGAGTGAGTGAGTGTGTGTGAGAGAGAGTGAGTGTGTGAATGTGTGAGTGAGTGTGTATGTATGTGAGAGTGAGTGCGAGTGAGAGTGTGTGACTGATCGTGTGTGTGTGAGTGAGTGAGTGTGTGTGAGAGAGAGTGAGTGTGTGAATGTGTGAGTGAGTGAGTGTGTATGTATGTGAGAGTGAGTGCGAGTGAGAGTGTGTGACTGATCGTGTGTGTGTGAGTGAGAGTGTGTGAGATTGCGTGAGTGAGTGTGTATGTGCGTGAGTGAGTGTGTATGTGAGTGAGAGTGTGTGAGAGAGAGTGAGTGTGAGAGAGAGTGAGTGTGTGTGAGAGAGAGAGTGAGTGTGTGAGTGAGTGAGTGTGTATGTATGTGAGAGTGAGTGAGTATGTGTGTGAGTGAGTGTGAATGAGTGTGAGAGTGAGTGCGTGTGAGTAAGTGCGTGAGTGTGTGTGAGAGAGTGAGTGAGAGATTGAGTGAGTGAGTGTGTGAGAGAGTGAGTGTGAATGAGTGAGAGAGTGTGTGAGAGAGAGTGAGTGCGAGTGAGAGTGTGTGACTGATCGTGTGTGTGTGTGAGTGAGAGTGTGTGAGATTGCGTGAGTGAGTGTGTATGTGCGTGAGTGAGTGTGTATGTGAGTGAGTGAGTGTGTGAGAGAGAGTGAGTGTGAGAGAGAGAGAGTGAGTGAGTGAGTGAGTGAGTGAGTGTGTGAGAGAGAGTGAGTGTGAGAGAGAGTGAGTGTGTGTGAGAGAGAGAGTGAGTGTGTGAGTGAGTGTGTATGTATGTGAGAGTGAGTGAGTATGTGTGTGAGTGAGTGTGAGAGTGAGTGCGTGTGAGTAAGTGCGTGAGTGTGTGTGAGAGAGTGAGTGAGAGATTGAGTGAGTGTGAGTGAGTGTGTGAGTGAGAGATTGAGTGAGTGAGTGTGTGAGAGAGTGAGTGTGAATGAGTGAGAGAGTGTGTGAGAGAGAGTGAGTGTGTGAGTGAGAGAGTGTGTGAGTGAATGTGTGAGTGAGTGATTGAGTGTGTATGTACGTGAGAGTGAGTGAGAGTGTGAATGAGTGTGTGTGTGAATGAGTGTGAGTGTGTGAGTGAGTGTGAATGAGTGTGAGAGTGAGTGTGTGTGAGTAAGTGCGTGAGTGTGTGTGTGAGAGAGAGTGAGTGTGTGAGATTGCGTGAGATTGCGTGAGTGAGTGTGAATGAGTGTGTGTGTGAGAGAGTGAGTGTGTTCGTGTTCAGTGTTCAATTCAGTGTTCGTTTGTTTTTTGCTTGTTTTTGTTTTGTACAGAGATGTTTTCTAAATCCTTTATATTTTATTTATTAATCTTTGTTTATTTTATTATTATGGTTTACGCTATCAGTATTATTTTGTGTACTAAATGTTCTAAATCATTTTCTATGTTGTTTTGATGCTTTGGCAATACAAAATGTATTTTTGTGTCATGCCAATAAAGCTTTCTGAATTGAATTGAGTGTGAGTGAGTGCGTGAGAGAGTGAGTGAGTGTGTGAGTGAGTGTGTGAGAGAGTGAGTGTGTGAGTGAGAGTGTGTGAGATTGCGTGAGTGAGTGAGTGTGAATGAGTGAGTGTGTGAGTGAGTGTGTGAGAGTAAGTGCATGAGTGTGTGTGAGAGAGAGTGAGTGAGAGTGTGTGTGAGTGTGAGTGAGAGTGTGTGAATGAGTGTGAGAGTGAGTGCGTGTGAGAGAGAGTGTGTGTGTGAGAGAGTGAGTGTGTGTGTGAGAGAGTGAGTGTGTGTGTGAGAGTGAGTGTGTGTGAGTAAGTGCGTGAGTGTGTGAGTAAGTGCGTGAGTGTGTGTGAGAGAGAGTGAGTGAGAGTGTGTGTGAGTGAGTGTGTGAGTGAGAGTGTGTGAATGAGAGTGAGTGCGTGTGAGAGAGAGTGTGTGTGAGAGAGTGAGTGTGTGTGTGTGTGAGAGAGTGAGTGTGTGTGTGAGAGAGTGAGTGTGTGTGTGAGAGAGTGAGTGTGTGTGTGAGAGAGTGAGTGTGTGTGTGAGAGAGTGAGTGTGTGAGTGTGTGAATGAGTGAGTGAGTGAGAGAGAGTGTGTGAGATTGCGTGAGTGAGTGTGAATGAGTGAGTGCGTGTGAGAGAGTGTGTGTGTGTGTGAGAGAGTGTGTGTGCGAGAGTGTGTGAGATTGCGTGAGTGAGTGAGTGTGAATGAGTGAGTGTGTGAGTGAGTGTGTGAGAGTAAGTGCATGAGTGTGTGTGAGAGAGAGTGAGTGAGAGTGTGTGTGAGTGTGAGAGTGTGTGAATGAGTGTGAGAGTGAGTGCGTGTGAGAGAGAGTGTGTGTGTGAGAGAGTGAGTGTGTGTGTGAGAGAGTGAGTGTGTGTGTGAGAGAGTGAGTGTGTGTGAGTAAGTGCGTGAGTGTGTGAGTAAGTGCGTGAGTGTGTGTGAGAGAGAGTGAGTGTGTGTGAGTAAGTGCGTGAGTGTGTGAGTAAGTGCGTGAGTGTGTGTGAGAGAGTGAGTGAGAGTGTGTGTGAGTGAGTGTGTGAGTGAGAGTGTGTGAATGAGTGTGAGAGTGAGTGCGTGTGAGAGAGTGAGTGTGTGTGTGTGTGAGAGAGTGAGTGTGTGTGTGAGAGAGTGAGTGTGTGTGTGAGAGAGTGAGTGTGTGTGTGAGAGAGTGAGTGTGTGTGTGAGAGAGTGAGTGTGTGTGTGAGAGAGTGAGTGTGTGAATGAGTGAGTGAGTGAGAGAGAGTGTGTGAGATTGCGTGAGTGAGTGTGAATGAGTGAGTGCGTGTGAGAGAGTGTGTGTGTGTGTGAGAGAGTGTGTGTGCGAGAGTGTGTGAGATTGCGTGAGTGAGTGAGTGTGAATGAGTGAGTGTGTGAGAGAGAGTGAGTGTGTGAGTGAGTGAGTGTGTGAGAGAGTTAGTGAGAGAGTGAGTGTGTGAGTGAGTGAGTGAGAGAGTGAGTGTGTGAGTGAGTGTGTGAGAGAGTGAGTGAGAGAGTGAGTGTGTGAGTGAGTGAGTGTGTGAGAGAGTTAGTGAGTGAGTGAGTGAGTGTGTGAAAGAGTGAGTGTGTGAAAGAGTGAGTGAGTGAGTGTGTGTGTGAGTGAGTGAGTGAGTGAGTGAGTGAGTGTGTGAGTGAGTGTGTGAGAGAGTGAGTGTGTGAGTGAGAGAGTGAGTGTGTGAGTGAGTGAGTGTGTGAGAGAGTGTGTGAGAGAGTGAGTGAGTGTGTGAAAGAGTGAGTGTGTGAAAGAGTGAGTGAGTGAGTGTGTGAGAGTGAGTGAGTGTGTGAAAGAGTGAGTGTGTGAAAGAGTGAGAGAGTGAGTGTGTGAGTGAGTGAGTGAGAGAGTGAGTGTGTGAAAGAGTGAGTGTGTGAAAGAGTGAGAGAGTGAGTGTGTGAAAGAGTGAGTGTGTGAGTGAGTGAGAGAGTGAGTGTGTGAAAGAGTGAGTGTGTGAAAGAGTGAGTGAGAGAGTGAGTGAGTGTGTGAAAGAGTGAGTGTGTGAAAGAGTGAGTGAGTGTGTGAGTGAGTGAGTGTGTGAGAGAGTGAGTGAGTGTGTGAGAGTGAGTGAGTGTGTGAAAGAGTGAGTGTGTGAAAGAGTGAGAGAGTGAGTGAGTGAGTGAGTGAGTGAGAGAGTGAGTGTGTGAAAGAGTAAGTGTGTGAAAGAGTGAGTGTGTGAGAGTGAGTGTGTGAGTGTGTGAGAGAGTTAGTGAGTGAGTGTGTGAAAGAGTAAGTGTGTGAAAGAGTGAGTGTGTGAAAGAGTGAGTGAGTGAGTGAGTGTGTGAAAGAGTGAGTGTGTGAAAGAGTGAGTGAGTGAGTGAGTGTGTGAGAGAGTGAGTGAGTGTGAGAGAATGAGTGTGTGTGTGACTCCAACTGTCTTCTGATCACATTATTATAAATTCGCATGTGACCTTGTGCACTATGAATACAGTAATAGTTTGATCACAGCTCCACCTATAGACCAAACCTGTGCATAACCGTCAGTGTTCACGTTACCCTCCTTTGTGCTTTAATGCCATGTTACATTTCTCTTCTCCTTTCAGAAATAGTGCAGAAAATCATCAATTCGTAAAAAAAAAAAAGAGAAACAACGTAAGATCGTCTCAAACTGCTTTTATTACATCTTAAATAACAGTACATTTTAATATAGTTTCTATCTTGCATCCAGCTTTCTGTTGTACACTGACTTTAAAATTAAATACAAAAGATGTATAAGGGAACAGTGGGGGGGGGTTATCCGTGTGGAGAGAGGACAGGGAAGAGAAGAGAGGGAGAAAGAAAAGCAAATTTAGTTCTTTTTTAGTCTTTTATTTTTCTTGCCGACTCCAGGCCTAACGCACAACGACAGCACTTTTTTGTTTTTGTACAGAATGTTGCAGAGAAATAACAGAATGGAGGAAATGCCACTACAGCGAAGGAAAGAGCTTTTCTGGATACATGTCGAGAGGAAATGACAAAAACGTCTGCCGTTCAGATGCTGCGTTACTTTTTCCTTTTTTATTAAAGAACAGAAAACCTGTTTGTTACAAAATGTTTCTAGCACTGTCTTCGTATCGGAAATTTTTCTTTTGCTACAGAGAGAGAGAGAGATTTCTTTGTTCTAGTTATTTGAGAGTGTGTTTTTGTACAGGGTGTGTGTGTGTGTGTGTGGGGGGATTCACAAACTCTCCATGGACAGAACAACTCACCATTCATTTTTGTGATCAACATGTTTGCTTCTCTTAAGTGCATAGCTTTGAAAGTTAAACTAAGTTGTGTATGCACAGAGTAGCAAAAGAAAAAAAGTAAAATAAATACTGGTGATCTATTAAACAGGTTATTATTAAAAAAAAAGAAAGAAAAAAAAAAGAGAAGAAAACATCAAAGACTTAGTTCCATATGCACCTCTTTTAAGCAATTCTACAGCATGCGATTCTACGAGTTTCCCACCCATGGCAGACAACCAAAATAAGAGTTTTTTTTTTGTAAATTTTTTAACTTAAAAAGTTTTCAATATCATTATTTTCAAACATTGATTTATACAACATGTCATTCACAGAGTAGTAACTGTTTTCCAAGCACAAAACGAGCACCTCTGTTGAAACCAAAAAAAAAAACGAAGAACCGCCCACCCCTCCTTCAACATCCTCCACATCAAAGAGAGAAAAATATAAAATAAAATTATTAAAATGATTGGTTAATCTTCACTGAATTACTCGTCGTTTTCCACACACAAAAAAGCATGAGCGGAAGGAAGTATGGTTAAAATTGACATTGTTTCATCTTCGAAAATCGAGCATTCGTCATCATGAACAGCACGTGCTTGGTTAGTTAACGTTTTTGAAATTTTTTATTACTTGTGCAAACAAAAAATTGCAAGTATTTAGACAAAAAAAAAAAAAAAAAATGTGTTAATCAAATTTCCCGGGATTAAATATACAGGCCTGATAGCAGCTAATGGACCCCTGATCAAATCCTTTACGTAAAGATGGATTTTAACAGTTTTAACTACCAATTTGATCCCAAAATATTTCAAAACTAGAAGAGAAAAGCACATCTGCGATCCTGACTGGGGCAAAGAGGTCCAAAAACGGCCCATAAAGCTATCGAGCACGAAAACACGCCTGCTTTCACGCTAAAGAGAGATGACGTTAGCATAATGACGGAGCAGTGGAATGAGTGTCTTTATGTTCTCAGAAATGGTCCCAGAAGGATGCACAATTATCAACTTTAATCCCCTTGCCAACTACAATCTAGCTGAGTGTAACAATTGTGCTCTTTTTTTCTTTTCTTTTCTTTTCCAAAGGAGACATTTTTGCTCTTTTGCCGTGTATAGATGTCGAGGGGTCAGTTCTGTTGTGTTTGAGAAGGAGAGAGGAGAATAAAATCGAACATTTTCATTTTGGAATGGTCTTCCAGTCAACCTTAAGAGTCCGGATGCGATCTGGGAAGAGAGGAAGGGAAACATTTACTTAAAATCTAATGATTTTTTACGTCAGGACACTTGATTAACCTCTTAAGCGTCACGCCCCCTTTTTTTGAATAAACGTGAAAATGCACAATCCGAACTTCAATGGTTGTAATTCAAGAATGCTTTGAAATATAGATGTAAGATTGGTCTTGTTTTAAAGACGACATTTGGCAGAAGTTAAATCAATTCAAAAAAGTTATAGAAGTTTGAGTTTATGAAAATGTAACAAATTAATTATTCATATTTTATATAAAATATATTTTTTCAAAACCTGGTGGATTCTAAAACTGCAAGAAAATCAAAGCCAAAACTCTGAAATTTTAGGTTGATATCTGAAATAATGATGGTGACACTTAAGGGGTTAAACAGACTGACACTGGGATTAGCACTGATGCTTTATTCAATATACACACACCGTATTGTATGATTTATGTACTGATATATCAATGCATACGAATTAAAGGGCGACTAATGCGTTACTCCCACCCGAACAGATGACACAACATATTACAATACAAACACCATCAAGTAAACATTGTCATAATTCATCACCAGTAGGATCATAAGCGACAGCTTGGCATAAATGCATGGTTTTCATTCACTGCGAGCCACATTTATTAGAAGAGGAGCTATTCTGCCCATTTACAAACTCTTGTTGTTTTCAGGCTCTACTAGAACGGGTTTTCCTGCTTGAATGTTGATTATTTTCCTCATATTCTCCATTGTTGCGGCTCCTCTCTTCCCAGTCTGTCAGTAACGCTCTGTTTACTTCCTGTCTCTATGAAGCCCCTCCTTCTGAAAGCACACTGTGCTCTGATTGGTCGGCTGGAGCAGTGTGTTGTGATTGGTCGAGCGCTTCGAATGTGATTTTGGGAAATGTCCCGCCCCTTCCCATAACCGCCAGTTTAACACACTACTAACTCAACCAGGTCCCGCCCCTTTATTCTGCGTATTAATTATTATAATGAGGAATATTGTGACGTGTTCGTTCCCGGAAGAAACTCAAGACTACAATGGAGGCGTTTCAGGAGTTCAGAAACACTGACACTGATGTAGAGAAGAACTGGAGCTTTCTCATGATCAAACCCACTAAAGACAGATGGGGGGGGGGGGGGCATCACTGGTCCTCAATTTATTCCCTTTTGATGTTAATAATCAAATTAGGTTATATCTTGATTTCCTGTTTTTAAGTCCTAAATTGAAGACATCTCAAACAATTAAGACGTTTCTTACACCATTTAAGGCTTTTAACTGGACTGAACTGAATTGATGTGTTTAATGAGGGCAGTAGAGATGTGCATGTGTGCAGATGACGGACACGGATGTTTTGAGGCATCATTACAACTCTTTATTTGCAAATCACTGGAGCCTCAGGCCTCGTTTACACTGTCAGTGAAATGACCCAGTTCTGATTGTTTGCTCATATGTGACACAGATCGGATGTGTTCGATGACCGTTTAAACAGGAACAAAACGCATGCATTCGGATATTTCGAGATCGGTTTCAGGCCTCGTTCATATGTGGAAATAAATCAGATATGTGCCAATGCGACTCATGTAAACTGGCAGATCGGATTTTCTGAGGCAGTACGTCTCTGGTTTAATGACGAGAGCAACCCTGACGCGCCTCTGCGAAGGGACGGATGGCCCGACGAAACGTCGTAGGAGAGGAGTGTGGACACACGTTGACAACATATCAGAGGTTAGCTTGCTCATCCTAACATTTCAGACCCACTGCTCCTCGTTAAAGCCAATATTTAAACACAATATGCAGTGCTCGACATAAGCAATGGCCCGATGGCCCGGGGCCAGTAAAAGAGTATGTCGGGCTAGTTGATTGGCCAGTCACTGGCCCGCGCGGGCCAGTGAATGGCCATCAGCAAAACAAACAGCAAACATACAGTGGCGCGAAGAGTGTCAATGTTACTTCAGGTAATAACGTGTTAAAATGTCAAAGAACTACGAGGCTGATACGAGAAAGAGGACATTCCTATAGGGCTGGGCGGTAAATCGAGTTTGTACAATATATCGATTTTTTTTTAAACGATATGGAATGAGGCAATACTGTTTATATCGATACAGTAGTTTGATACGAGCACATCTGAAAAATAGCGGAGTACGCAGTGTGAGCTCCTGCAGTGAAAGAACATAGTACAATTTGTCCTAAACATGACACAAGCTTATATTAAGCACTTCAAAATAACTGGTAAGATATAGTTAACAAGTTTAAAGCAGTTTGCCTTGTCAGATGCTCTGACAGATACTGTTGCTGACTGACAGATAAATACTTGCGCTGTTTAATGCGTTTGAGACGTGGTGCTTTCCTCAGTGCTTAACTTACATTTTTAGAGGTATATTCTCCATCTGTAAATGTTAGAAAGTCAAACAAATATGTCCATTTCACTGTCAGGAGAGGACGAGCTTCTGCAAGTGAATCTCCGCTAATATTCAAGCTTCCGTGAATGAGCGCCGCCGCGAGCACGCGCGCCTAACAGACGAGCACAATAGAAGAGTAGCGCAATAATTCTGACTAAAATATACATATTGCTAAAATATTTTTTGTTGGAGACAATAAATGTGCCATATGTGGAATTTTAAACCATACAAGTAGGCCTATGTTTTTATGAAAGTGAGCATTATAACGGGGTAATCAAATGCAGGCTAATATAATTAGTTGTGCTTTTGTTTTTATTTTATTTTTAGTTTAGCCTTAGTCATTTTAAAAACAAAAGCATTATTTTTGTTTTTAGATTGTAATGTTAGAATGTAATGTGATTTTAACCACCTTTTTGCACGTAATATATTGCATAGCCTACATTACATTCACTATATTTGTTTCCATATCCTTCAATATCAACATTGTTTGGATATCATTAAGCAGGATGTGAAATATTTTTTTTTAAATAAATACAGATTTTCTTTATCCAAATAGAAAAAACGTAGAAAGTACAGAGATATATATCGTATATCGCCATTTAACCAAAAAATACCGAGATATGATTTTTTGGCCATATCGCCCAGTCCTAATTCCTAGTGTCATGGAAAATGCAGCACACCTGGGTGGAGAAAGGCGATGAGGCCATGTACTGTTTTGTTTGCCGGAAATTTACAATAAAAGCCGACCAAAATGCAAAATGCATAACCGGCCTGCCGAGTGCCGACGGGCTATCTAAAAATAGTGTAATCAAATTCCCCCCTAAACTTCTGCCTAGCCCCCCTAAAAATGTGTGATTAAGTGTAAGCTACACAAATTTGTGTTCGCTTCAGTCTTGTTATAATCAGATTCAGCGCGTTCTTCATTTTTTCTTCATTGACAGTTTTTTAGGTCATAAATGTTAAACGTATGACAAAAATAATCAGGCAAACTAATATACTTTTGTCTAATTTCGCCATTTTGAAGTGAAAATATAGCCTATGTAACTCATCACTCATGTCATGTTATAATTAGTTTACTGTCATTGTGAGGGGCCAAGAAAAATTAATCCTAATGTATACAATAAATACAGTTTAATGGAAAAGTGCTTTTGATTCTATTTCTTTCAGGGCCAGTAAAAATATAGAAGGGGCCAGTAAAACTCTGATCTACTGGCCCTGGGGGCCAGTGGGGATTTTTTTTTATGTTGAGCCCTGCAATATGTCCTGAGATCTCTCGCACACAGTAACTCGAGCACATGCGCAGGCTGCAGTGATGCCCCTTTTCCTCCTCCGCCTCTAAGGGTGCATCACATCTGTAGTTCGGGTCCGGATCAAGGGTGAAAAATTATACTTTGTAGCATTTTCAGGCGTTTTGGTTCCTTTCCACACCACACTGATTGCTCTGGTCCGAATCAGTTGATGAAACGAACCAAAATGCAGTCACGTGACACCATCCACATCACTCGTTGGCCAGATGTGTCTTGAACATATTTCCACAACTGCACTTCGATTGGTCAGAATTAACGTGTGGGAAAACTCCAACAGAACTCCCAGAAGACCCGGCAGACATGCGGAGAATTCACTCACGGTGTGTGTTTAGTGTGTGTTCACGGTGTTTGACAACTGCAGTGTTGATGAGGACAGTTTCAGTGAGAGTGCAGAATGCGGTAAGTCAGTCATGGCTTAAAGGAAGCGCTATTGACAATCTAAATAATAGTTTTGTTTGACTACGGCAGCTGGTTTAGTCCAAAAATGCGCAGTTCTTTGGCAGTCGGGTCTGTTCGAGGTCGGATCACGTTCTCACCACAAACCAACCGCTCCAGAGTTTATTTGGTGCGCACCCGAGTGCGATCGCTGCATTCACACCGGCCCAAACGAACCGCACCGAGGGGGACAACGAACTCTAGTGCGATTCAACCGAACTAAATGAGGCTGGTGTGAAAGCACCCTAAATCATGCTGATGTTTGGCGAACCTCGCATGTATCGCAGAGCTAGCACAGAGACAATTTATAAGAGACATGCCACTTCCTCAATCCTCAATAGAACCATATGGTTCTCAATAGAACCATCTATTGACCCTTGCGCACGCGTAGTAAATGTATAACCTGTGGGGGGAAAGGTGTTTTAAACCTTATTTTGGGGTAAAGTAATCAAACTTTTTCAGCGATTTTTATCATATTTTACTGCTGTTTCTATACAAGCAGTTTTTATGTCCCGATGACCAGTGAAACTGCAGTTCTGACTCTCTGCCCATTCATTTAGATAGGAGCCTGGTCTTGTTAGTCCGAAATAGCTGCCCGGAGGCGTTGCCAAGATGGCGGCCGAGTGGCATAACTTGCCTAAAAGGACTTTGGCTAGCATCAAGCATATTTCGCGTTCATCCGTCTGTGCAAGAGAATTTAACTCTTTAAGCATGCGCGATGTCCCAGATAGTATGGCAAGTGTACACGCATGAATCGGATATGGGTCACAATTGACAGAACATGTAAACAGATGGTCAAAAAAATCGGATATAGGCAACCAATCAGAATTGGGCATCAAGACCTGCAGTGTGAACGAGGCCTAAAGAATGATCCGGCTCCTCAGAGGAGATCGACAGGGTTTCTGATGCGGATGCTGATTCTCGTCTTCAAAAACGAATGTGCTGCTTGTTTTACGTTCTGCCGAGCCGTGAAGGATTGATGTAAAGGTTGTGCGTTTACTCTTGAACCCTGTCGCCTGTTAACCGAGATGTGGCCGAAACTGACCCGTTTACCTTGCGGCTTTAATTCCAGATCTTCAGGAAACTATCCCAGGAGCCAGTAGCCACAGCCATCCCATCATCAGTGACGCCCAAGCAGCTGACGCGGTTATCGTGACCCGCCAAGACCCCTGCAGACACACAACATGCACACGTCACTTACGGGCAACACACACCTGACGGGGTTCCCCACATCTTCATTCATTTCACATAAATGATGCAACTGATGTTTGGATTGTAAAACAATGTCATGCGTAAATACACTACCGGCTAAACGATTTTTAAAATGGTTTTGAAAGAGTCTCTTCTCACCAAGAAATGTAACTATATTATTTCTCAGCTCTTTATATAAAGTTTATATTAAATATATAAGTATTAAATGTATAAGTGTACAGTATCCAAATGCAGGGCAATATATACACTGGCGGTCAAAAGTTTGAAATAAATTTTTTTTTAAATGTTTTTGAAAGAAGTCTGTTCTGCTCACCAAGGCTGCGTTTATTTGATCAAAAATTCAGTAAAAATTGCGAAATTTTATTCCAATGTAAATCATCTGTTTTCTATGTGAATATATAGTAAAGTGTGATTTATTCCTGTGATCAAAGCTGAATTTTCAGCATCATTACTCCAGTCTTCAGTGTCACATGATCCTTTACAAATAATTTTAATATGATGCTCAGGATTAATTTATGATTATTATCAATGTTGAAAACAGTTGTGCTGCTTCATATTTCTGTGGAAAATATGATACATTTTTCAAAAGTCTTTGATGAATATAGTTCAGTTTCTTAAAAAATCTGAAGCAGCACAACTTTATACTGTAAGTTTAATATATTAATTTAACTTATGAATAAGACTTTCTGTTTTGATTTCAGACCTTTTCATTTGTGTAAGGGCGAATTAAGACTTTTTAATGGTTATTTAAGACTTTTTAAGGGTGAATTAAGACTTTTTAAGGGTGAATTAAGACTTTTTAAGGGTGAATTAAGACTTTTTAAGGGTGAATTAAGACTTTTTAAGGGTGAATTAAGACTTTTTAAGGGCGAATTAAGACTTTTTAAGGGCGAATTAAGACTTTTTAAGGGCGAATTAAGACTTTTTAAGGGTGAATTAAGACTTTTTAAGGGTGAATTAAGACTTTTTAATGGCGAATTAAGACTTAAGGGTGAATTAAGACTTTTTAAGGGCGAATTAAGACTTTTTAAGGGTGAATTAAGACTTTTTAAGGGCGAATTAAGACTTTTTAAGGGTGAATTAAGACTTTTTAAGGGTGAATTAAGACTTTTTAATGGCGAATTAAGACTTAAGGGTGAATTAAGACTTTTTAAGGGCGAATTAAGACTTTTTAAGGGTGAATTAAGACTTTTTAAGGGTGAATTAAGACTTTTAAAGGGTGAATTAAGACTTTTTAAGGGTGAATTAAGACTTTTTAATGGCGAATTAAGACTTTTTAAGGGTGAATTAAGACTTTTTAAGGGTGAATTAAGACTTTTTAAGGGTGAATTAAGACTTTTTAAGGCCTTCATTTGTGTAAGGCCAAATTAAGACTTTTCAAGACCTTTTTAAGACCCTAATTAGCTTCATCATCATCATAAGTAAATCTAAAGTTGTTAGTGAAATGGGTTATCCGTGCAGGCCATCTCTCACACTGACCTGCGCGGTCGGCTTTGAGAGCATCCCACACGTTGCAGTTGAAATCGTCGTAGCCGGCGAGCAGCAGGCGCCCGCTTTTGGAAAAGGCCACGGAGGTGATCCCACAGATGATGTTGTCGTGAGAATAAACCATCAGCTCCTGATCGGCACGCAGGTCAAACAGCCTGCAGGTGGCGTCGTCCGAGCCCGTGGCGAATGCATTTCCGTTGGGGAAAAACTGAGAGGAGAAAAGCAGGTTACTAACATCACGTGAAACACGTGTGTGTATTTCAGCGAGTGCACGCGGGTGCCGCTTACACAGATAGCGTTGATGTCGGACTCGTGGCCGGTGAAGGTTTGTCTGCACATGCCTTCTCTGACGTCCCACAGCTTGGCAGAGGCGTCACACGCGCCCGACACAAACAGACGGGTGTCTGGGGCCAGAGACAGTGACATCACATCACCGGTGTGACCAGCGAACGTGGTCGTCTGCTGCCCGGTCTCGATGTCCCACAGAGCACTGAAACAAGCAACACACAACACAACGCATGAACTTACACTGTTCCAGTCATTGTTATTAGTATTGTGAAATAATAATTAAATTACACCTTTCAATGCGGTTCTATATGATTTCATCTTTACAATGAAACTGAACAACAGCTGAAATGCATCACTGTAAAGCTTCTTTGAAACAATCTGTATTGTATAAAGCGCTGTATAAATAAAAGTGACTTGACTCGTAATTGCGAAACAACGTCTCATTTACTTTTTTAGTTTAGATAAAAACTAAAAATTTTAGGATATATACTAAGAATTGTGAGAAATAAAGACAGAATTGTGTCAAACTCCCGATTGCGAGATGGGGAAATCTGAATTGAGAGAAAAAAGTCTGAATTATGTTATTAACTGAATTGCGAGAAAATGACTGATTGCGGTATAAGCTCAGAATTGTCAGAAAAGTCAGAATTGAGATTGCGAGTGAAAAAAAAAAGATATATAAACTTGAAATTGCAAGACAAAAGTCAGAATTGAGAGTTATAAATTCTGGATTGTGAGGGAAAAAAGTCTAAATTGAACAAACTCGCAACTGCGAGAAAAAACAAAAAGGTCAGAATTGTGATAACTTGTGATCGTGAGAAACAAAGTCAGAAAAGCAGGTTATAATCTAAATTGCGAGGGGAAACAAATCTAAATTGTGTGTTATTAACTCGTGATTGTAAGAAACAAAGTCAGAATGACAAGATAAACAATGAACTTGAGGAAAAAAGTCTGAATTGCACGATAAACTCGCGATTTCGAGGAAAAGTCAGAATTGTGAGTTATAAAGTCGATACTGCAAGATATAAACTTGCAATTGTAAGGAACAAAAGTCAGAATTGTGAGAGGTCGCTATCACGTTTTTGTGTTTTTATGGCGGAAACGAGCTTCCAGTTTTTAAATATTTATTTCCATTTATGATTATTTGTCTTGTAATATGGCCCGTTGACAGATCTGATCCTGCAAAATAACTGAATGCTACTATAAGATTAAAAGAAGAACATCAGTTTCAACCTATAGTCTCTAATATATGTCGGCCAGTGCATATAATTCAAGTATGTGATCAGTGCCAACTCCATAGATAAACTACAGTGCTGATAAGCATGAGTGTTTCGTTCTAAAGCAGTGCCCGAACTCACCAGGTGGTGTCGCCTGAGCTGGTCACGATCTGGTTATCATCCAGAAAACGGCAGCAGGACAGATAGCCTGAGTAAAGACAGCAGTTCAACATCAGGAAGGAGAGCAGAACACGACACACACACACACACACACTAAGGGTTAAGTGGAGACACGATTGTGTGAGAACGCTTACCTGTGTGTCCAGCCAACTCACGGCTGACACGCACGTTCCCCTCGCGGGTCTTTAGGTTGTAGATGGAGCAGATGTTGTCCAAGCCTCCGCAGGCCACGTAGTTCCCAGACGGGGCATAAGCACAAGTCATCACCCACGAGGAGCGCAGAGGAATGGCGTGCACCTACACACCAACACGTCAGAGAGATTTAGCTTTCACAGGACACGTTGAATCATATGTTGACTTTACTGTAGATTCAGAACCACGAAAAGTGGATCAAAACCTTTCATCAAAGTTATACATGAATTTAGAACAACACCCGTTCTCATCTTTGAAGAACTTTTTTGATCCACTTCAATTGTTGCCTACAGTAGTTGACAGATGAGAAGATTTATGAGAATATAAAAACAGGTTTGCCGGCTCTACTTGTGTCATTGCACAATCATCACAAGAACGAAAGGAATTTAGATCGTGGTTCTAATTCCTCGAAGCAATTCTCGTTCCTTTAATGTTTCTTTTAGAAGCTACGAGTATGAAATATTTGAAGGCCATGCAAATCATTTCTGCCAAATACTGAGATCACGCCCCCATTGATAGTCGTCAATAGAAACTGAAATGGTAAAAATAAAAATCTCTGACACAATTCAGAACCTGCTGATGCGCATGTGTGTCTAAGGTTCCCATTTACAGTGTTTCTCAGAGCAGTGAGCATTGTAGCCAATCGTTGGAGTGCATGAATTGACCAAAATGTGTATCGGTTTATTATAACCATCAAAGTACAGCGGTTGGACAATGAAACTGAAACACATGGTTTTATACCACAATCATTTATTAGTATGGTGTAGGACCTCCTTTTGCAGCCGATACAGCAAAAATATTCAGATTTATAAAACCTGCACAAAATTCCCTTTATAATCCCAGTCAGAGGAAGATTGTGTGTTTGTGCGTCTCCATGAAATGACCATTTATGAGCTTACAACGCCTCATTTTACTATGCATATCCTCTATCATTTGCATATGCATATTCATCCACGTGAGACCATGTTCAACGGTACTAGACATTAGGAAAATATGAGAGATGGATGTGAGTCACATTACATTGCTAAAAATCATTTAGTAGACGATCCTTGCCTTGATTTAGAATAAATATATCAAATAGTATAAAATATATTTCAGAGAAAGTTTTTCTCAATCTTTTCCACTGGCCAAATAGTATATTTTAATTGCTTTATATTTTTAATAGAAACCGATAGGCCTTAATGTGCATTATTGATCATTATTTGCGTGTAAATATTCTGCTATTATCATGCGCTGAGCAAACATTAAAACACAGCATGCCACAGGAAAAGTGTTCAAAAGCATCACATCCACTTCAAATATGAATTTATTAGAGTATTATTTTTTTTGTAACTTCTCGGTAATGATATCATGTAATTTAAGTGCTTAACTCCATTAAGAGGCTGGGATATTTAATCTGAATATGTATATCAGATGTAAAACAGTTTAAATCCTTCTTTTATTTATTTACACTGTTATTGTGAACATGCACTGTATTTCTGATTAGGACTCATGATGAATATTACAGATGTTTTCCTTCATCAGTTCCTCAGATCTCCATCGGTGTCGCCAAACGTCTCCGTCTCCAGATGTGCGTACGCATGATCAGAGTTTACTTACAGACGCACATTCTCCAGTCACGTTTGTTTAATAAATCTACACTTCTGCGTGGGAAGTGGCGTGCGGCTCTTTCAGGGCCTGTTTTCTGAAACGCAGCGGTTATAAATGAAACCCCAGGTATTATATGACGCTGGTGGAGGGAAACGACACCCCAAATTGTCTCAATAATCCTCAGATCTGGGGACTGTGCAGGCCATGGGAGACGTTCAACTTCACTTTCATGTTCATCAAACCACTGTCACCAGTCTTGCTGTGTGTATTGGTGCATTATCATCCTGATACACGGCCCCATAAGAGCTGTTAGGTGCACATGGTCCTCCAGAATGGTTCAGTCGTCCAGTCCCTGATCCTCCGCCATGCTTCATATAGGTGTTGAGCTTCTTTAGGGGTCTCCACAGCGAAAGAGTGAAGGTGGACTCAGAGAACAATGTGTTACACATCGTCCACAGCCCAAGATTCCCTCTGTTGGCAGCAATAAAACCAACGTTTGGCATTGGCATGAGCATGAATATTCACTCTGTGGAGCTCCTGATCAGTGGAAACCGGAGAGTCGAGGTGCACATTTACTTCTGCAGTGATTTGAGAACAGGGTTTATGCAGGAATCATAGAGATGAATTTACTACCTTTTACTACCTTTTTTACTACCTCCAGAATATTTTTTACTACCAACACGACATCAAGCGGCAGCCCTTTTTTGGGGGGTGTGGGAGGGGTATGCAAAGCACCACTTACTACTTACTATAAGGTATAAGTGTGACACTGTCACACACATCATACATATTAGGTACACTAATGTTTAATTGTGATCATTACAAAAAAAAAAACATAATTGACAATGACAATATTAGTGTCGAGTTGAGTTTCAGTTGTCCTTATCTTAACCCTAGCCCTCGAGTTATCCTAACCATAACGTTAGCCCTTAGCCCTAATAAGGTGAAGAAAAACCTTGGCACTTCTTAAAAACAAATGACACTTAACAATAAACATTAAAAAAAATATATAATAAAGTGTGTCACATCACACACACTTACCCACAAACACACATTCTCACACACGCAGACTTAAGCAGTGAAATTACTATCCCAAAACAGCAATTTATTTCATCACATCTCTAAATGTGCTTCAAATATTGCACTGGTTTGCTGCTGAGATGGTGCGACGACAGCTAACCTTAAGTTGGCATGATTTGCCGTGATCTGTGTAGTGCTGCTAGCATCGCAAAACAACAAAATAGGGAGCTGCTCCCCCCTCACCCTCACCCGTTAAATATTTTCAATTAGGGATGCACCGATACCACTTTTTGCAGAACGAGACCGATACCAATACTTTCATTTGTGGTAGTCGCCGATATCGATACAGTAACCGATCCCTGAATTTTCACTGCATTTGTAATTTTTAAATGTATTAGTAGATAAACCAAAAGAATATAAATCATATTAGTTGGCTTAATTTGTTCATCAAATATATATTTCCTTTAGATATTTTCATGCTTAATTAATCCTTCTAAAAAGCATGCTTCTGTTTCTGTCACTGTTCATTCTATTACTCTATCATATTTTATCTTGCATTTAATAGCACAGCACATATTTAGAGCTGCTCAAGCAGGGCTCAGTGCTGAGATTGGGTCAGTGGTACAAATGTTTAGACACCAGTGAAATACCAGTTATTTAATCCAATTTTGATACAACAAAAACTACCAGCCCAATAAAAGTAAGCAGTCAGTAACAAAATAAGAAAAAATAATCGAATTACAAATAGGATAAATAAATACAATAGAACAAAGAAAAGCTACAAATGAAATAAACAATGTTTTTAGAGTTTTTCGGGTAGATTGGTACATACATTTGAATACAGTAATCAAATGTCAAAAAATTGCATATTCATTATTGTAAATTAAATATAGATGGATATTTTTGTAAAGTTGAAAAGGGTTGACCATTTAGTCAAGAGCAGTGAGTAATTTATTTGTCCTTTGTTTGATTAACATTAAAACACAGTAGCAGGTATATTAAAGTGCTGCCCCTTTAAGACCGAACACACATTTGAACATGGCTACGTTCACATGAGATATAACCAACTTTGTTTACTAGGATACTCGCCAAGACGGGCGTTTTTACATAATTTTGTGACGTGAAAGACAATTTTTAGTATTCGAGCGCTGAGGCGATGGTTTGCGGAGCGCGCTTTGGATGTTTGCGTTCATGGAACTTCTTGACCTGCACATGTCCAGTAATAATGTAGGGAACCATTTGTTATACATAAATCAGGTAACAGGTCATGTTTTACTTTACTTACATCTACGATTTAGTTTTCATTCAAATAACACGTGCTGAGTGAACGATCAGGAGCATTCAACAGAAGTGCGCGCGCGCGCTCTCTCTCTCTCGTCAGTTAACGTAAATAATAAGCTAGATGACTTGTTTTAATCTTCTTTGCCATTGACATCCGACTGAACTACAAACTTTCCACTGATGTCTGTTTGAAGGGATGTGCTCGAGCTCGACCAGCTCGCGCGTCTGTGCCGCTGCGCGCTCAATCCACTGCTCGCGCACCACAGCTAATGTTACTATATTGCGTTTAATATTCCACTAATAAGACACATTTACGTCATAGACAGCCTTATTTTTTGATGGAAACTCATATTGAGGTGGTGATGAAAAATTTACTACCAAGTCAAATTGCATTTATTACCTTTTACTACCTTTCAAGGGCCTTCATTTTGGTAGATTCTTTTTACTACCTTTTACTACCTTTTACTACCGCGCGGAAACCCTGGAGAAGCTCTTTTGTGTTTTTTGGACAGAATCCAGGTTAGTAACTGGACATCCTTTTCACACAGCTCCCTCTAGCGTCGACAGCGACTCCTGTTGGATGTGGTTCGTCCTATGTGGAGGTATGCCGACATTACTCCGGATACTGAGCTCTCAATACACCAAAGACTTGATGAGCCAGCGAGACGCTCACCAACAATTCTCCTCTTTTCAATTCTGATATGTCTCCCATTATGTTTTGTGGATTGCAATATTTTATGTACAGCTGTGCTTTTGCTCTGCTAATTCAACCTTTAACACTATATTGGCCAGTGTTTCAGTTTCATTGTGTTTATACAAGGGTTGGACAATGTAAATCAATCTATCTATCTATCTATCTATCTATCTATCTATCTATCTATCTATCTATCTATCTATCTATCTATCTATCTATCTATCTGTCCGTCTATCTATCTATCTATCTATCTATCTTGTGTTTATACAAGGGTTGGACAATGTAAATCAATCTATCTATATTTCTATCTATCTATCTATCTATCTATCTATCTATCTATCTATCTATCTATCTATCTATCTATCTATCTATCTATCTATCTATCTATCTATCTGTCTATCTATCTGTCTATCTATCTGTCCGTCTATCTATCTATCTGTCCATCTATCTATCTGTCCATCTATCTATCTATCTATCTATCTATCTATCTATCTATCTATCTATCTATCTATCTATCTATCTATCTATCTATCTATCTATCTATCTATATTTCTATCTATCTATCTATCTGTCTGTCCGTCTATCTATCTATCTATCTATCTATCTATCTATCTATCTATCTATCTATCTATCTATCTATCTATCTATCTATCTATCTATCTATCTATCTATATTTCTATCTATCTATCTATCTATCTGTCCATCTATCTATCTATCTATCTATCTATCTATCTATCTATCTATCTATCTATCTATCTATCTATCTGTCCGTCTATCTATCTGTCCGTCTATCCATCCATCCATCCATCTATCCTCCAAATATTTTAATAGTGTGTATAGTTTTTGCTATGTAACTGAAATTGGTAGTTCCATTATTAATTCAGTTTTTAAAGCCTCATGAAATCAGTTGAGAGAATCCAGGCTAAGAAGTTATTTAACATGTTGAGTCATTAAATGAAACCATCAGTTCACACATGGCATTGGCTTTCACTTTTACCTTGTTTGTAGTATAGCTGTCCCAGATAATAAGTTTTCCATCCTGGGAAGCACTAACAAGAAGCCTGAAAAAAACACAGAGAGAGGGTGGAAATGAAGAAACCGAGAACAATCAGCACAATGATCATCTCAACTCAGTCTGAACGCTTCTATGTGATAAGAAAAGAGTCTGATGATTATCAAATGGATATAAAACACGCCGACTGCAGATGTGTGGCATGATCTGCATGTAGAGGAAGTCCTGTTCTATGTGAACTATTATAAGATTAGAGTAGTCAAATAACCCTTCAAAAGAAAACAGCCTTCACATGATGTCCATACAATAATAATCACATTAGAAGAAAAGCACTCGCACTTCTAAAAGGATCTTGTTTTCAAGAGTCTTGAGTATAGTCCAGCAGAAAACTCACCTGTAGACATACGAGAGTTACATTTTAAAACAAAGTTTCAGGAGATTGTGTTATTGTGAATATAGTCACGGCTAAAGGCTGTGTTGTTAGGCATATGTGCATGTACACAGAAATGCCATGCATTATGTGAGAGCTTCAAATGATCTCAGACCACAGCGTGTGAAGACTAAACTCTTCTATTGTGGAGCGTCCTCATGTGTGCACCAAGAACAAACAAATATGGCGAACGCAAACTGCTCCGGATTCAATGCAACTGAAGATTTATGTAATTATAAATGTTCTTGGTAGTTACAGCTTCACACAAAGTTAAATGACACGCAGTGACACAGATGAGGAGACGAGCTGCCGCTTCTATTTCTATGAAGAATACAGCCACTGAAATACACACGGACCCTCTAAGGATTTCCTTAATGCCAAACGAAGACGCTTGTGTTTAATCAGACCGCCTTAAAAAAAAAGTGTAAGTCATATCCAGTTTCACTGTTATTTTATATTGTATGTGTTGTTTGTATTCTTTTCTTGTTAGTTGAACTTCTTGAAACTTAAGTAAATATGCGTCTCTCTGTTGCGTCAAATATGTCCGTCAAGCTTTTGTTTACATAGAACACATTTTCTGCACTGCTTTTCCATTGTTTTATGTGTGAACGGCTTGGTTATGGTTCTTCTCTGCATTGAGCATCTCTATTTCTGCAATGTTTTGAATGACCAACGCAACAGCGCCACATCAAGTGGCTTCAACTGGATAGACTAACTAAAACATTAAAACACTCTTAACTCTAACATCTCATGTGTCACTGATAAAGGCAAAGCTGTTGTGTATCCTATGAAGCGATTTTGGCTTTTCGGTGCTTCAGCGGGTGTGTCATTGTCAACGTGTGTTTTAGGACACATGAAAATCATATTGGACGTGTCGATCCGCCTTGTGGAGATCAGACACATGACTCCTCTGTACATGAACCGTCACAGCTGTACTAGCTCATGGCATCACCTTGAGTCAGTGCCCCAGTGCATGGCGTAGATCTTTGCCAAGTGTCCCCTCAGTGTCCGTCTAGTGCGCATCTGAATCCGCCCCACAGGCTCAATATTGGCTGTGATCTGCCAGAAACACATGAGAACAAAACCTAGTTCAAAAAACACCCATATGAAACTCCATCTGAACACAACATGATTTGAGACGACTATTTGTGATGGTGATTTGATGTTTAAAGAGTCCTACCTGAGAGAGGGTGGCATCCGCACATGCTTTCCGTGCATCCTTGAGAAGAAAAACACAGATAAAGCCACATTCACGAACACAAAACTTCAGACAGATGCAGAAGTAAAGATGCAAAGAAGTGTCATAACCAGGTCCCATCCAGAACGCATCAAGCCTAAAGTACGCAAGGATTTTGTTCCAATAAGCCTATGCAGAGTCACATGACTGAAATTGTCCTGAGTGACTGGTAAAAGGTCCTCTTGCCCGCGGCAGTTCGTTAAGATAAAAACGGGAGAAAAACTGGTAATGACACTGCATGTCAGTGTTTGAGCAAAAACAAACAAATGTGTGTAATGACCGTTGCTAAAGATAAATGTTACTTTGTACAATCTTCATATTACATTCCTGCAAAGATGACAGAAAATTGTCCTGTGTCAAGAAACATGAGGGCGATTGTGCTTTAGACCAGACATGGAGCGGCGATTGAGTGCGATCTGAACACACCAGTGAGGGATGGGATATTTTGCTAATCATGTCTGGTATCTTGGTCTCATCTCAGTGAGCTTTTATTATGTTTCATGCATGCACAGAAAGATGATTTTAGCATTTTCCAACATTTCAGTGTTCACTTTTGGAAAAAGCTTTAAAACGCTAGTGTGGACTAGGCTGTCAAATAAAGATTAGAATTTCGGAAATTCATCAAATTGTGTAAAAAGCCTGCACACTCGAATGCAAAAACCATGCATTCAAATTTTTGCTGTGTCATCATGATGACGTAACTTACGCTGTTTGCTTTTGTTAGCTTATCCAGTGCAGCGCGGTGCAGCTAAGTTGCCATTTTTTAAAAAAATGCCGAAAAAAGGCTTTCTGCTGATGAAAACACTCAGTTAGTGTCAAAAACAACACACTTGACCAAACCTGCACATCGGTCAGAGCTGAGCGTGTGTTTTCATCAGCTGGAAACATCGTCAACACAAAGCGCTCGGCACTCACTGCAGATCAAGCCGAGCGTCTGGTGTTTTTGACAAACTATATGTAGATGTAGTGAGTGGAAGTGGTGTGTTTCTGAAGGCCAGTTTGCCGTTGTGTGTTCATTGCGCTGTGTGTTGAATTGTGTTTTCTCAGGTCACTGATGCACAAACACAGTTTTATGCACTATTGTAACATCATTTTCCTTGCATGCACATTAAGGAAATTATCTTTTAAGAACAATTGTTTCAAAAGTTAATGCACTTTAAAAAGTGTCATTTCATTTCAATAAAAGATGTGATGCTAGATTTGATTTATATTTGCTTAATGTGCTCGCTTGCGCCCTCTTGTGGGCATAGGAGACAGTGGAGTACTTTTTTCCTCTAAAATTAAGTATTGCCTATAGAATTTGTATATAATTCGAATTTTGCTCATATTTAAGAAATTCGAATTTAACCTTTCAGCCATTTTGACAGCCCTAGCGTGGACAGAGCGTTTTCAAATGTATCCAGATTAATGTATACGTAGCCTATTATCATATTGCGATGTGTGGCAGCATGCGATATGGTAAAGAGTTGAGCATGTGTGTGTGACGTGTTTTGCATGCAGCGACTGACTCTGATCTGGTTTTTCAGCTGTTCAGCCTCCTGACGCAACTGGTCGAGTTCGCTCATTTTCTTCTGCTAGACGATGGGCTTCACTCCGTCCGCTTACTGCCGCTCGCACTGATCTGAAAAACACACAAACACCATTACTCTATTGATTGCATGTTACTAAACAATTGATTTACATGTATGTACATTGCATGGCAGTGTTAAAAGCAGACAAATTTAAAGATGCAACCTCCTGAAGTTGATGAACTGCCATCAAAACAAATTTAGGGTTTGTTAGTTAACATGAACTAACAATGACAAATACTTCTAAAGCATTTATTAAGTAAGGGATCATGTACATCCAGCCGGTTATCTCAGAATAAACCCCGACAGGGTGATCAGGTCTTCATCAGCCTTAAGTGGGTTATTCTGAGATCTCTCACACACACACACACACACACACACACACAAGAAGGGGGTTATTCTGAGATCTCACACACACACAAGAAGGGGGTTATTCTGAGATCTCACACACACACACACACACACAAGAAGGGGTTTATTCTGAGATCACACACACACACAGGTTTATTCAGAGATAACCGGCTGGATGTACATTATACTGCTTATTACACGGCTACTTCCACAAAAGTAAATAATTAAGACAAAATATTGATCTGAGTTGAAATTTTGAATATATTTTAATATTTAATTCTTTAAACGCAAAGCTTCCGAGGAGAGAGCAGTTTCAGCGGCGAGTTCAAACTAGACAGACGTTTAAGGGATACGGTATACAGTCATAAGACTTATTACACAGCATTTCAACACAAACAATTATGGAGATAAGCGATATTGATTTCAGATTCAACTTTTAAAATCTGACCTGTTTGTATCTTATAATCCAAAAAAGTGTACAAAACAATAGTCACAAAATGTCAGCAACTGCATTTGTATGAAACAAGAGAGAGCGAGTCCACGATACCGGATGGCAAAATTAAATAACTGTACACAAAATATTGATTTGACTGAGTTTTAATATTTTATTAGCTCACCAAACGCAAAAACTTCCACGAAGAAACACCGTTCCTAGTGAGCGTATAGCGCTGATGTCTTCAGTGACCCGGATGAGCCTGTGTTTCTGTGTTCAGCGGCAGAATAACTCACCGCTGGATGGCGCTATTGACCAATCAGAATCAAGCATTCCAAAGAGCCGTGTAATAGTCTTAGTTGATGCTAATTTCAATATAAAAGGTCTGTTTTTGCATGATCAAAACGTGTTCTACTGCTGTTGGTCCAGCTGTTTGGGAACACAACGCACCCGATGTGACCGGCGCACATCAAACCCGTCTGATCGCAGTGATGGAGACACCAAGCCTCATTATACACTCGTTCAACCCACAACATGCACAAGCACAGCTGACATCAGCGCTATAGTTAGAGCCCCGTTACCACTGGACACGGTGAGAAAAGACATTTCCAACACTAATGAAGGGATGCGAGCACGTCTCTTTCTCCGCCTGTGTCCTTGCCAACCCGTGAAGCCGTTGCTTAGCAACAGTGTTGTGCAGCGAGCCGGTGCTAAAGATCACCATTACTGTGTGTCTCCAACACAACCACACAACTACACAAACACTTCACCGCCCGAGCACAGATAATTGCATTACTATAGAGTGGAAATGATACGCTGCCGTTTAATTAAGACCCTATGATCGGATACACTTTCCTACAAAACCAGGGATGATATAGGTTACTGAGTGTATACTGTGATGACTATTGACAAACATTTGGATGCCGACAATGCAATGGATTTTTTTTGGAAAAGAGGTGATCTAACCTTTTCCTCACACTTTGAAGAAAACCGGCCAACCAATGAGATTCATGCTTTGGGTCACATGCCCTACTCTCGTCTCGGTTCTCTTGCATTTAATGTTGTTTGGTAAACACCATAGCGAATACGAAAATCTGAATGACTGTAGTGCAAACTCATTACAGAACGTCCTATGATTTCCATTAAAAAGGACTAATTTGACACGACTTTTTTCTTCTCCGTGACAAGCGGGTGTCAGAAACTGAAGTTGTGCACCGCAGTATTTCTGCTTTTCAGCCGAACAGACAAATTGAATGCAAAAGCCAGACTGAATTTTCATTCTGAACATTCGTGTTGGTATGAACGACTGAGCTTTGAAAAAAAAAAAAAAAACAGAAAAAAAAAAGTGTTAAACAGCTTTCTCTTTATGGCTTCAACGGCGGAGAAAAGCGTTCACGTCAACAATGTTTCAGAACGCTGATTTCAAACCTTGGAGTAAACGGTTGTCCTAAGGTCATGTTAACACATGAAAATCATGACAGAAAGTGTAAGTAGTTTAATGATCTCCTCTTGCCTCGTGGGTATGAGTGTAAAGACAGATGTTTTACTAGAGTCTCATTAAAATGTCAAACAATGCTAGAGTTGATGTGGTAATTTCCTTGAATCAGTTCAAACAGTCCATTTTCAAACTCTTGCTTCAATGCCAATATGTTCAGATATGTTGCTTTTTTTAATATTAAAATATTTAGCTAAAAATACATGTAGGTAAATATTGCTGTTTATTCCTCTATATATATATATATAGAGAGAGAGAGAGAGATATGCCGCATGAAAAACTGCAGAAAATGCCTTGATTAGATTTTCAGTTTTCTTGTATTAAACCTAATCGAACCTAATTTGTAAGACAGACATAAATTCACAGATATAAAATTACCTTCTTTTTTTTTTCAATAGGTATTACGCTTGCCCTATACCATTCGAATAATTAAAAAAGTCATAAAAATACACCCATACCTGGCAATATAAGTTCCGTACTTTCTGTATTTCACTGAAAGAAATGAATCCAAAGGTAAAAGCTTGTTGAATTATGTGGGTCAAGAGTTGGTTCGTTGGTCAGAGAGACTAGAGTAAAGTGCGAGTGGACATAGACACAGACCTCGTCCCGTTCTCAATGTCACTCCTGTAATCCAGGGACACAGTTGATTCAGCGCGTCCGCACAAATCCGGTTAACACCAAATCTGCTGATGAACTCTCCTGCTGACCCAAATCCACTGCAGACACTTTCACTCACATCTCACATCAAAGTGAACAAGAACACACACCTCTGACCAACAGTGTGAGGACACACTCCTACAGAAGGACTACAGTAGAAACATCTTGCCTTATTCAGCACAACTAGTTCTAGTCACTACAAAACGTCCATCTAAAAGCACAAAAAGCCATCCGAGGTCCCACAAAAGTACACGATTTAGCTCACGATTCCCTCGCATGGCCATTCCCTCGGGTGTGCCGTCTTATTTCTAGAGGAAAGTAAAGCCTTACCTGGACTCTGTATTCCCAGACACAGCTCCTGTGTCTCCAACGACTTTCTGTAGGGATCTACACTGGATGAACACCTTCACCTGAGCGCTAACGGCTGATTGGCCGGCTCCAGATGCGGTTTAAGCCTCACATAATCCAGCTGATAAAGTGTCACGATAATATTGCTAATACGGGGTCAGCGGCCGCATAGACAACCTGGATAACAGCTTTAGCTTCACCTCAACACTGCTCTAACACGACACGAATGTACCTTTCAATGTGCAGTACAAGTTTCACAAAAATATTCTACACACACACACAATTAAATATGACATAACCAGTAGGGCTGGGAAAAAAGAAAAAAAAAAATCGATTCACTTAGCAATCGCGATTTTTTTATTCCAGAATCGATATTAATTCAATTGCTTTATTTTTGCCCTTGCTTGTAGACGAGGTTAACCAAAGTTAGCCACTTTGGTTCCAACAGAGGATGAAATGTGTCGTGATCTATGAGTGTTGAGTGATGTAATATCCCAAGTGGACGCGTGAAAGACGTGAGACTGAACACACTGAAAGCCCTCGCTCTACTCGTATACTGAGAGAGAGAGATAAGACAGTAGAGCTGCACGATTCATCTTTAAAAGACTGATCTCGATTCAAACGCCCACGCCATCTTCCAATTTGTCTGTCTATTAAACCTTTGATAAAATCATATCGCAACATTCAAACCTGTGTTGGCGCTGACCCGGAGCGAGTCGTCTTTTCAACCTCATAGTATCATTATTTCTGTGATGCAATAGTTAAAATGATCATAGAAGTACTTGGATAAAAGTTCAAATATGAACACTGATGTCTACGATAGAGTCAAAATCAGCTTTTGATAGAAACTCTGTGCTTAAAATAACGCATTTATCGATTATATTGTTTCGCCACTAAGTGGCGACAAGTGACTGTTAAAAAATGTATTTGTTATTGAATCGTTTATTCAAGAGAATGTAGTATTGTATGTTGCTTTTGAAATAAGTCAGAAAGAAGAAGTAACAGTAGAGCAGTTTGTGAATCAGAGATTTGGATATTATGCTCAAATGTTCTAGAGAATGGCAGGCAAGAAGCACAGGTTAGCATTTTACATGTATATCAGATAGAGACGCCAGCACCTGATTGGGAAGCGCTGGGGGAACATTTTATCATAAAGTTAATTTAATCATAAAATTACTATTGTTTTGCATTAGTAAGTCCAGATACTAATAATATTAAATGTGTGTTTATTGGAAATTTAACAGTAAAGCATTGAGCTTAACTGATGAAATTAACTTATTAACAACAGTAATGTGCAAAAAAAAAAGTAATTTTAATTATTACTCTTATTAAATGTACCATTGCTCCATTATTTGGGTGCATTATGTGCATCTCAGTGCTGGTTTATGTGTGAAGCACTAAAGATGAAACAGGAAATAATAATATTAATAATAGCAAATATATGCACACACACTGACACTACTGTTCAAAAGTTTTAGATCCGTAAGATTTCTTTAAATGTTTTTTGAAAGAAGTCTCTTCTGCTCACCAAGGCTGTATTTATTTGATCAAAATGCAGTAAAAACAGTAATATTGTGAAATATTTAACAATTTAAAATAGCCGTTTTCTATGTGAATATATTGTAAACTAATTTATTCCTGTGATCAAAGCTGAATTTTCAGCATCATTACTCCAGTCTTCAGTGTCACATGATCCTTCAGAAATCACTCTAATATGATGATTTGATGCTCAAAAAAAAAATTCTGATTCTCAATCCTTTGATGAATAG